TTGTTGTTAAACCCTGGGTGGAGTAACCACATATTTTCAAATCTAAAGGAGGTAGGACCTCCACGCCTTCTTTCCTCCTTAAATAACACTATGGGCCAATGATCGGAGGTCACCCTTGGAAGAGCTCTAGAAGCCAAGGTTCCCCAATGGACTTCCCAATCCAGAGAGAACAGGAATCTATCCAATTTAGAACAAATGGGAATCTATCCAATCAGTAACCTATAAATGGAAAATTGCATACCACATCAATTTAATATGATTTATCTAACAGTTTAATACTTTTTCCTAGATTCTACTAACATTTATATCATAACTGATTTTCAATAAGATAGCAAATCACTTCCTAACTTGGGAAATAATCCTGAATGTTTGAGAATATTAAAAGTTGCAACATTAATCAGGACAACCAACTTTCTGTTCAGAAATATCTGGGTTTTCCATACATCACCTCCTCCCTTTTTGGAAAACATTTATTCATATGGCCAATTTACATGCAACCAAACACCATAACAAGAATTTTTCAAGTAGTTGTTTATTTTCCTTCATTTTATAGGCAACCAAACAGAACCTACAAATCCCGGCAGAACTTTTATCATTAACATGCCAGCAGCACAATTTGTTGTGCACAATTAGTTGGCAAGTATATAACTTTGATGGTCAAAAAAACTAAACAGAAAAATCATACATGCAATTTTGTTATTCTTCTTTTTTTTTTTTTTTTTGAGAAGAGGTAAAGTATTAATTCATTGGGAAAAAGAGAAAAAGACCCATGTACAACCAGAGGCTATACAATGGGGAATACAAACAAACATTAGGCCCATGTACAATCTTGTTATTCTTATTCCATTAGAAATAATTTTAGATCTTTTATGTTCCACATATTCTATTGATTTCCAATTAAGTGTGCTTAATCAGAAGTTTTCTTAACTAGACGTGCACATCATAAAGGAAATAATTTTTCTAAAAATGTTGCTTTCACTGCTTTGGGAAAAATTTTGGACCAAAATGTTGTCCACAAAACCCCTAAGCCCCTCAAAACCCAGGGTTCACTAGACTAGGGGTGTCAATGGACCGGGTTTGGGTTGGACCCCTTCTGAATCAAAATCAATTTGAACAGATTGGACAGACCAATAAGACATATTGAATTGAACCAGTCCAGACTTAATGGTCCAATGTATTTATTGGATTGGATTGGACCTGGTCCATTTGTAATGGATTTATATTGGACTGGGTCGGACTGAACCAATATTCGATCCATTGACATAAGATAAGAGTGTGGGTGCCAATGGACCAGGTTTGAGTTGGACCAGATCTAAATTAAAACCAATTTGAACAGTTTGGATGGTTCAGATATTGAATTGAACCAATCCAGTATGGTCCAAAGTATTCAACAGATTGGACTGGACCTTATCCATCTGTAATGGACTCATACTGGACCGGATCAGATTGGACCAATATCCGGTCCATTGACAGCCCTACACTAGACACTAAGGCGTATAGGGCTGTGATCTGGTCAGATTAGGATCAGATTGAGCTGCATCCATGTTCAATTCAATTAACAAAACCTCCTATTATTCTAGATAAAGTTGGTTGCTTAATTTGGTCTCCCAAATTAAAAAAAAAAAAAAAGTCGGTTGTTTAATTACAAATCAAATCTAATTTGGTCTCCTATGTCCTAAATCAAATAAAAAAACTCAGCCTAGATGCTTCAAGAGTCAAATATGATGCATACCTATAGCTTCCCATACTGAGTATAGGGCCTATGGGCTAGCGAAATATTAATAGATAAGTAAGATATTAAAATGTATATCCAGCAAAAAAAATAGACTAAATATGTGAGAGCAAGAAACTATAACAAATTTATATTCACCATCAACACCAAATAACAGGTTCAGAAGATGACCAGAAGGTTTTTAAGCACATTAATGGTAGACTATGAGTTTTAAATAAACTATTATTGAAAAATGGTTACCAGACATCCCAGTATGTGCTGAAGTTCCTCCAAAGGCTCCCCTTCATATGCATTTATATCAACAAGTGTAGGGTACACAATGGACCAAGGAGATAGCTTTGCCAACATCATCAGCAAGCCCTCCAGTTGCTTTCGAACCACTTGCTCAGGATGAGAACTTAACCGGGCAAAAAGTTGGGGTGTTATTTCCTACAAAAAGAAGATAGCAGCCAAACTATCGTTATGTTGCCTATAGGATAATCAATCGGACTGTTATTTAAGACAATATCTCACCTGCCATGGCAATAAAGGAACTCTTGAAAGACCAGGTTCAAGTGTATCTCTTAACTCCACACCATAATTGAGAAGAATGTGTAGGACGTACAATGTAGCATGGATAGTGTAGCTTCTAGTTTTCTGCTTTAGAAAATCAGGATCAGAGCCAGCTAGGTGACCTTCAAAAAGTAAGGAGGATGAATGTGAAAGGTATTGCATAAAACCATGAGCTGCATGTCCAAAGAGTGACACTCTCCTCTGCCTAAGTGACCACCAGACAGCTACTAATTCATTAACAGAAGATAGAATGTTGGCTTCCTCTACGCCAAATTTTGCATGAAGGAAGAGCACCCGCAACTGAGAAGTTAGCACAGCAGAAGGGCATTCACCATCCAAATTTTCAACTCCAGGTGCTCCAGCTGCAGCCTCAATCATATTTATTGCTTGATGAACCAAAGCCTTTACAGGGTTCTCATTTCTTAAATCCTCTCCAGAATTGGGACATATAATCCACTCTCCCCCTTCTTTGTTTGCATCTTCCCTTTTCTCCAGAAGTTCTATGATAGTACTTTCCACTGTCAATACTTCTTCTTTAGTTAATTGGAACCTATTAGGTAGAATTTCTGGAAAAAGAACGGGAGAAAAAGAGCACAACTGAAGAGTAGCATCTTGGGGTTTGGAAAGGGAGTTTCTAGCCTGACTGTAACACCAAGAGGCATAAGAAAGCCATGCCTTACCCATGTTGGGACAAAGAAGAGAAGATAGTTTTGATGCTGTCCCCACAATCTCCTCAATAATCAAACTGATACCAGGATTGCAGATCAAGTTTCCATTACAAAAGAGGGGCCCACCTCTGCCTGGACAAGAAGCATCAGATGTATTGAAATCTGCATGAATATTTAGGGCAACATTTTCTAAATCCATACCTGAATAATTCCCTCTTAACCAAGCTGAGAGTTTCAAGCATGCCTTTGCCTTCAATTTATTGTCAACACTATCAGAAACTATAGTCATTGGAGAAAGCATACAAGGGCGCACAAATGACCAAAGATTCATAAAAGCCTCTTCAAGTTTGTTTTCAGCATGCATCAGAAGAATACCCTCGTATTGCAAATATGTAGCAAGAAAATCACGATACATTCCCTCAGAACAACTCAAGATACAACCTTTGAGGTACTGGCTTAGACGGTGTGCCAACATTAAATTACCTTGTTTACGAGCTAAAGTCATTATATTATGGCAGAGCTGCAGTGTCATTTTGGAGCTTGGGAGAACAGTACGATAAACCCGAAAAACCTTCAACCAGAGGCTACAATCTTGATTAGAACCATTGATGGGAGAATGCACAACTTGGTTGTATGAACTTAAAATTGATTTAAGTTGCTTGGGTTCAACTTGGCTACTCTTCAGTTTGAACCCTTCCTGAAATGCAAAAATACTGTGCAATTGGAAGGCATATGCTGCTGCCTCAGTTAATCCATCAAGGGGGAGAACAGACAAGGATTCCTCCAGCATTGACTTGGCTTTTTCTATTTCCTGTGGTACCTGATCTACCTTCCCTTCACTTTGAAGAAGCATGGCCTGCAAAAGCATCTGCTCACTCCTCAGCAAGGCCAATTTAGGATCAAGGGTGAGCTCATTGCTACTTTTGGGTGTCAAATCAAGATATGCCCATGCTGCCTGAAAATCCCCCTCATCAAAGCTAGACAAGGCATGGACTGCATTTATCTCATTACCAGCTGTAGTTAGAGCACCTGAATAACTTTTTCCAGTATTTTTAGCACGAAGCACCTGCAATTCTGATAGCCAGCACTCTAGAGACTTCCAATCAGAAAGAGCAGTGTAACTCTCAATAATACGAGCAATAGCAAATTGCACACCGTCAGAACCCATAGAACTAAGTGTCTCTTCAGTCTGAAGGAGGTGAGTAAAATGTGCAGCAGCCCTTTCATACTGGCCATGTGCCTGATATACAAGCCCAGTGATCCATGAAAATGGCCCCACAATTCCTGTGTGAGCATTCTGATTATCCTCCACAAACAATGAAGAGAATGTAACAGAAACCCACTTTTGTAGGCCAATCAAAGCCTCAGGTTCATGACTCCTGCATAGAGCCAAGGCTGCATGTCGTAGGACTCTCAAGACATCTCCTGCAAGTCTACCTCTAAGACTATGAACATTCTCAGCTGCACGAGATTTGTCCTTCAAAGCTGAAGCAACAATATTCCTTAGGTCTTGCAAGCGCAATGAACAGTAATGAATTGAAGCAGAATGACACTGCAATGCCAAGCCAGCATTCATCATTGGCTCACATATACGGGAAAACCACTCCTCACAAACCTTCTTGTTTGCCCGAAAGAACAAGGAACTCTGCCGGGTAGCACATGGTAAAACAGACGATCCATCATAGGCATTATATACATTCTTCTTTAGAGCCTCAACAAAATCTAACAACAACCTCATTGGTAACAAGTGAGTAATAGGTAGACCTGTATTCAAGTTACTATCATTTGGCTCAGTATCTAACTGTAGCACATGTGCTACATCTAGAAGCATGCGCTCCAAGGCTGCAAAAGTCTGGGTTGGCCCACCAAGGTTGGTCCGCAAGCGGACAGATATACAGTATCTAGCTGCTTCATTTATGGACCACCATGCAGCTGCCAGGTTATTTACGGAGCAAATTCTTTCCAGCATATTTCTGTCTACTTTTATGTCTATCCATAAGCCACTGTTACAAATGTTTCCCGACTCCTCTAATTGACTTGAAATAAATCCTTTTGTACCATAGCAGCTATAGAAGAGGCGCTGGATCCAAGAAGAAAGGGGAACCTTCCATCTCTGAGAGATATAACTCAAAATGGAGACAAGTTGCTGAGAATGAAGGCGTTGGGGAAGCTGTTTGAGTGCAAATACTTGTTTCCAGTGCAAGTATGATCTGTTGCCCAACCTAAGGACCCCAGGCTTACATGTGCTACCTATTTCATTATCAAATAGTCCATCCACATACATTGCAACAGGCAAGAAAATGGAAAATATCCTCAAAAAAGCATTTTTAGTAGTCATATCTGGATCACCAAGTTTTTCAAGGACAACTTCTGTAATAGAGTAGAAATGTCCAGGATAAATAAGCCTTGCTTGTAGAAGAGATTCCAAGACAGATGCAACTTGTGATCTCAATTTCAGCTCCCTATCGGATGCCGCATCTAAAATTGCAAAAATTAAACTATTATCAATAACAGCAAATCCATCTGCTTCATTAAAATAAGTTGAACTCAAATCTTCATTTACAGTCATAACAACTTCACAAAAGTTATGGACCCATTCTAGAGCTTCCAGCTTAACAGCAAGAGGAGAAGAAACATTAAGAGTTTTGACAAGGATCATACTGTACTTCCTCAAGTACTCAGCTATCACAGTAGAATGTTCATTTCCGAAATTGCTCCAAAACGAAGGCTTTTCAGCCATAACATTAATGGGGGCTGTCTTGCTAGTATTTTTCTGCATGCTACATTTGCTTAAGAATTCAACTTCACTGAGTTTTTCCAACGCTCTTACAACATTGACTTGTAACTCCACACACTCTTGAACAGGGAAGTCAAAAGGGCCCAGCTTTTCCAAAATAAAAGATGCCAATTTCACAGACCTCTCATTGTAGGAAGTAGCAACTTCTGGCTCGCCAAGCAAACTTCCAACACCCAATGGGAAACAGTTCAATAACACCTTTACATCAAATTTAATCAGAGCAAATAACTCAGATTTTGAATAGGATGTACAATCTAACATGGTACCAGTTGCATCTCTACAATCCCATATCTTTTCAAGCATGCCCTTTAATAGCTCTATCTCCTCCAGCAAAGAGGCAATTGCCTGTTCAACAACTGCATTACTCCCATGATGCAGCAAGAAAAGATAAGTGGCAGCAGAACTTCCTGTAACAAGGTGATTCGGATGCAAACGGAGCTGAGATATAGGTAAATCAAATTGCAGTATTTTCTGAACAGATGATGGAAGGAGACCTAGCTTCTGTAGGGACAGCAACTGAAGATTAGTTTTTAGCACCCCATGAACCTGAAAGGATGGAAACTTGCCAGACGCTGCTGGTTGGGTTGCACAACTCTCCCTCAAACTTTCAAACAAGATATCCAAAGCAGAAGTATAAAAGTTGCAAAATTTTTCAGACAAGATTTCAGCCAACAGAGTCAAGCACCTCCATGATTCTCCCATCCATTTTGACCACCCAAATTTCCTGCCAACGATAGATAGGCAAGTCAACAGTTGAGGTAACATCCTGGTGAGTGGTTCATAGATCTGTTCAAGCAAATTCATTTCTAACATTCCAGAAGCTGTGGCCCGTAGAATTGTTGAAAAACAAGATAATAGTGCAAACAATCTCCGAAACTGCTGGGGGGTTCCAGGACTTCCATCCTGAAGTAGAGCATCCATGTCACCCAAGAACTTTGACAAAATCCCCAGAGAAAACTGAAGATTACTCAACCAATGCTTCTGGAACTGTAAAAAACTATCCATTATAATGCATCTGTCTGGTTCTGAAAGATCTGGCACCAATGCCCATCCAAGAAGCAGGTCGACAATGTCAACAAAATGAGGCTGAAAGCACCTACTGAACTTCAAGGAGATAAGAGTTAAAAGGCCCAGCAGCCGATGAAGCAGGTTCAAGGAGGTTCTTTCATCCTCAAGAAGTTCTTGGCATGCTTTGAGAATAGGTGGAACATATCGTTCAATTCCTCCTGCATCTCCAATGGTAAGAAATTCACGGAGGGCTTCAATTGACAATTCCACCGACCCGTCGCCAGCACTGACATCCCTAAGTAGTGGCAAAGCCAAACTAATGAACCGGTCCACCAAATTACCCGCTATAACATGGTTTTGTCTCCCATTAGATGCAAGATGGCTGGAAGATACCACAGAACACAGAGCTCCATAGGCAATAGCCGCTGACCGGCTCACCGAGTATGACCTGCGATACGAGTTTGCAACAATCAAATACATCCTACATTCAGTTCCAATAAGAACGGAGCATCAAAGCAAAAAATTCTCCTCTTCATATCTTGTTTCGGAACTTCGTGGAATCTAAAGCAATTTTATGTGAACATTCTGAAAAGAAAAATGATTTTGACTCCAGTCGGTATTCTAATTTCTACAAGAATGATAGACAACCTTAACTGAGATAACTTCAAGAGTCAAAACTCATTCTGTCATTCTGTTGAAATCATACGAAATTGGCTGCTCGTTAAAAAAATAGTATGAATTCGAAGAACAAACAGCAACAAATCCGCCATTTATAGTAGATTAAACTCGAGAAAAACCTCTTCACCAAAAAAAAGGACTCGGACCAAACATAAATGCAATCTTGGTCAGAGAAGAGATGCACAAAGTCACAAACAAAGCTGGCCTCCGCCAATTCAACCATGTTTGGTTTTCAATTAAGGGGAAGTAATAAAGAAAACTGAGTTCGATTTGATCGAAAGAACGAAAACTACAAGAAATAAAAGAAAATCCAGAATAGAACATATATAGAGGATCAGGTAACGGAACTTACTTGTCCGAAAGAAGCTGAGAGAAGCCCTGAGAGAGGAAAGAGGCAGAGTGAGCAACAAGTAACGAGTTGGGAGGGTAAAGAATCGCACGGTGGAGAGAGGTAAGAGCGGCAAGTCGGGCTGAGTCGTCTTCTTCGGAGGTGGAAGATGAGGAGTCGTCTTTGGGGAGAACAACAGAGAGGAGAGCTGCTAACTGATGCTGTTGGTGATGAAGACCTTGCATCTCTCTCCTGCATTTGCATTTCTATTCCCTCCGCCAGAAGGCCCAGAACTGGGATATGCCTATATGCTGCTCCCTTTTTTTGGGTTAACCCGGCAATAATAAGTTAATAACATGGGGTTTTCCCTAATAACAGAACATCCACATTATTTCTTCGGTATCGGTCGAATCGGGCCAGACCGGCTGACCGCTGACGAGTGACGACACAAGGCAAACCCATCGATACACAATGAGCTATTGGGTTGGGTTGGGTTGAGGCGCCGGGCCGGTCCTGGCCTTACGTGCCCAGCCCCGCCCATATCGTTGTAGAGTACGTTAGCACTATATATTGAACGGAGTCGAAGACAATCTTTTTTTTTACCCCTGATTTGCAGCTCCAGTTACGTAGCCCATCCCCACGAGCCCCGATCTCCTGCACACATTTATCGTAGCCACACATGGAGAACATCTTATCTTCTGCATAACATTATACAGGGGGAGATATTTCCAATTCACGGGGGGTGGTGTATTGTGAGTAGGCATGAGTAGGATTCTTGTGGGCAGGAGATCCGGAGTCCAACCCCGTACCCATAATCCCCCCAACTGGCAGGGCTATACATGGCTCCTATCATATCCACCTCTTAATTTTTGTATGTATATATAAACTCTAAACCCTTAAATCCTAATCCTTAAAATTTTAATGCTGAACCCTTAAACCCTAACCCTAAAGCTTATTAAGTTTTCATATCATTTTCCTTTCTTTTCCTACCTTTTTTTTAAACCGAATACAGCCTAAAGTTAGCATGTAAAATGGATTTGATCGGACACATGTCCTTCCTTCAATTGGGTAGGAGCCCAGTATTATTCCACCTCGGTGGTAGTGGGATTTTATCCCAAGTCTCTGCTATAACTAGCTAGAGACCCTACCAATTAAACCATCCTCGGTTGGGATAAGAATGGGCCATCTAGGTCTAGAAAGAACCTATGGGGAGAGAAAACGCAATGTAGTCTCATGGGGTTGTCTTGCCTTGCCCACATTGATAGATTCTTCTATAGGATCCAATTAGTCTCTTTTTTTATATTATAAATATTACACAATAGAAGAGGGATTAAGGTGTGGAGAATGGAGCAATGTAGATAACCTTACCATGAAAGCCTACTACACGGGGATGATCCCACACCTCTATGGTAGTGAAAACAAGGAATTTAGGGCACTTCATCTAAATTTCATTAATACTTTGAAAGACCCTTACCTTAAATTTTCATGATATATTACTTAGTTTAATTAACTTATATTATTATAGGCACATTTCATTTTGTGGTATACTTGATACATCTGTTTTATTTTATTTTTTTAGGCTGAATTTGGAAGGAGTACAAATGCAAATATGTAGAGTGCAAAGCCTTATATTTTGTATGTATTTACAATGTACATATTTGCATTCGTACTCCTTCCAAACGGAGCCTAAGGACTATACAAGACAAGGGGTAGCACATCCCCATAAATCACTCTCACAATCACAAATATATCGAAAGACTAAGGCTGCATTTGGAAATGACGCAAAAAAGTGAGTGCAAATATGCAGAGTGTAAAATGGTCCATATAAATTGCAAAGTTGGGTTAGTTTTGCACTGAAAAATTTACCTTTTTACTAAACAGACTTTTAGTTGTAATGGATGCAAAGTATGCTTCCTTTTATCAAAAATCCAATTGAATGCAAATTTACTTCTTTTTTATTGATGTACTTTTATATCTTATTATCAATGTAAATATGCATTGGTCTGTCATTTGTCAATGCATAAATGTAATGTTGCCAAATACAAGCAAAAGTGAACCAGAGTGCAAATTTACCTTGAACCGAGATTTACACTCCATTTGCATTGTTTTCAAATGCAGCCTAAGGGAGGTCCTAGAGATTTAGATTCAAAAACCCTATGCTACTAAAAAGAGCTTCATGTGCTAATTAGTCTACAGCTTGATTGGCCTTGCGGTACACATGCCGGTAGGCAATACCCTTCTTGAAACGAGTCTTCAAATCCAAGCAATCTCCAATGATGTTCTTTAGTCTCTATGGAGGATCCATGGCATTTTGTGGCATCATTCATTGGTTCAAATATCCCATGCATCACACGGGCCATTCTACTAGTGTTATAGAAATAATTTGAGATTTCACCAAGTATCTCTCTAATGCACATGGGTCGGATTATGGTTCAATTCAAAGTCACTGAATCCGTTTCGTTTATGGGATTCTGATTTCCGTTTAATTTTGAGCTTGCCAAATTGAATCGATAAAAAAATGTGATTCATTTAGCATTTGTTTGGCATCAATGTCGTCGCTCAAGAAAACGGTGACACATTAACGCCACGTCAAAAAAAATGGTGGTTTAGGAAACACTTGTTTTTTTGGAACTATTTTTCCATAAAAAACGGTGCTCCAAGCCACGTCTTGGAAATCGAGAAGGCGTGGTTTGGATCAATGCCGAATTTGGCATTTTCTCAAATTGCAGCTCGTTGCTTCCAATGAGGACGTGATGTGGTAGTGACGTGGACTTCCTATAATGGGTACCTGTGCTGAAAACAAACATGGAGCACAAGTACCAAACAGAAAGTGTTGCTATTGCTTTAGGAAATGTTCTACCTGGCAGCAACGTTTCCAAACAAAAAAAATACACCGTTTTCTCATAAAATGGTGCTTCCAACCCATACATCAAAAAACGGTGTTGTATATGTCAAACATATACTTAGTTATTGAACACAATTTGATTTGGGAAAATCCGATTGATATTTCAGAGATTATATTTATATATTTTTTATATTTTATCATTTTTTGTTGTTTTATATATTATAAATGTTTTGTACAAGACATTTATACCCTCGTTTTATATAAATAAATAAGTAAAGCTAGTCGTAATTTTCATCCTAAAATGTCTATCTAAAGAAAGTTATAACCCTTAACTTCTGGTCCATTGAACATAACAATAGTCAAACTTGAACTTCAGCCTTCAGATTTGTTTAACAAACCTTAAACCTAAGACCCACTATTAATTGTCGTTGTCTCCTACAATCTTGCTACAAAGGTACCAGCATTTCATTGTAGAAAATTAACATTCCCATCTTATTCTTCCTACAGTGTTCTAGCCATGCAAGAGAAATTTCAAGTTTCCAACTCTATCGTGGATTTCTTAGCTTTGAGATTATTAGTGTAACTTGAGAGCCCTTAATGATTTTGTCTTACAACCTTCAATAGCTACAACTTTTCAAATCAGTTTTAGTTCTCTAGTCTCAGGTACATCGATGGAATTTGACACCAATCAGTTTAAATGAGTGAATCATTATAAAGTAAAAATGTATGATTATCGATGTAAAACTCCACGATGAATAGAATTTATATCAATTTTAGATGTAAAACTATATTCAAAATAAACAATGACATATACAAACCAAAAATAGAGTTTTATATCGAAAACAAACGCAACTTTAGAGTTTTGGATTTTGATCATCAACTTGGTTATGATAGAATAACCAAGTCATTGGAGATCCTTGTTCATACACGATGTGCAATGGCACAACATGTTCATCATCATTATGTTGTAACACGAATCAAATTGGATTCAAATTAGATATCTGATAATATAAATAAATTTAATTCCAAAAAGGGTTTTGGATAATTGTCAGATTCTAATCCAATTCAAATCGTATATTTTTCCTATCAATTTGGGTTTGGATATAATTTTCCCATCAAATTGGATATAATTTGAGCCCATTAATTACACCACAAAGGCACAAAAAATTTTTATATTGAAAGAATCAACATTCACCTTTCAATAGGTTCAAAGAACTTCTAACACGAGGACGTATGTAGTGAGAATTAGTTAAAAAAATGATTGAAACAAAAATATTTGCTTCTAATTTATGAATTTTGACTTTTTTTAAAGATATGTGCTACATACATTGTAAATATTAACCATGTATATTATATAACATTTGGGTTTTAATTTTATGATATGTGTGGAATCGAATGCAAATATCCACATTATATAGTACTAGTGTAAGAGAGCATAGTATCAGATATGTAAGGATGGCAATTTTCCCCATCCCCAACCCGATATCCCTGATCGGGGTTGGGGTCAGGGATGGGGATTGAGGCCCCCACCCCGTTCGATCCCAATTATATATTTATATATATTTAAATGTTATTTATATTAGATGTATATTATATATATATATATATCAAAACATATTTAAAATATTATTTATAATTTAAAATTTTAAGTTATTTTAAATAAATTTATTTTTCAAAAAAATACTATTATCTAAAAATTTTCGGGGATTCGGGTCCCCATCGAGAATCCATCCCCATCGGGGATCGAGAACGGGGATGGGGATTAATTTCAGAATTGAGGGTGGGGACGGGGAATATGATCCCCGCCCCGTTGCCATTCCTACATATATGTTATTTGGATTTAACTTTTATAACTTGCACAAAACCCAAAGCAAATATCTTTTTTATATAATAATCAATAAAAATAATAACAATAATAATAATAATAATAATAATAATAATAATAATAATAATATATTAATGTAAAGGAACATACTATGCATCTATACAAATAAAGATATAAATTAACATTCATATAAATTTAACTTTAATGGCCTATACTAAAACCAAACTAGTATCCACTTTATATGTCTGGATTTTTAAAATGGCTTTTAAAATATTATATACATCAGATAATATCAGTTGAACCATTTGGATACTTTCTCTTTTTTTTTTTTATTTTAATGAATATAAAGATTCTAAACGGGCTCTTAGATTTCCTGCACTTTTTTGGAAGCCATGAGAAAAGTGCAGGAGATCAGGACCATCTTGGTGGTCTATAAGTTATCATTTTGTCGTAGGTTTAAATCCCACTCTAGGCTTACGAGTTTGGGTGAGAAAAAGTGTTTAAAGCTTTAAATGAGATTTAAAACTTTCTAGAAGCCTATTTTACCTTTTTTTCCTTGCACCATCTTGTATGTTATATAGAAGAAAAAAATGCCATTATTTATGCTTAATGAAATATTTTTGTGCTCTAACATTAGGA